TTATATAATATTCACAGAGGAGAAGAGCAGGAGACATGTGCTCACGTGTGACAGGTGCACTTTAAACCTGTCAGTGTTAAACGATGCAGCTCTACAGCAATAAGCTGCACCAACCACAGCAAATAAATACTAGTCAAACTGTCAGTCAAGCACAGATGTACATACTGGCTGCAGGTTTCTGTAACTGGGCTGTTTAAGTGCATTTCCTGAGGGCCAGATTATTGAGGGGGGCCTTGGTCTCCGGGCTGGAGGTGCCACAACAACACAAAATCTCCCCCACACTGGACCTGGTGCACTAAGCACAACTACAAAAGCTACATTTGATTTCTGTAAAAAATAAAATACAAAAGGCGTCACTAGAACTGCTCTGCAAAACTGCCTAGACCAAACCAAGACCAAACCAAGACCAAACCAAGACCAAACCAGGACCAAACCAAGACCAAACCAAGACCAAACCAAGACCAAACCAAGACCAAACCAGACTAAACCAGGACCAAACCAGGACCAAACCAAGACCAAACCAGGACCAAACCAAGACCAAACCAGGACCAAACCAGGACCAAACCAGGACTAAACCAGGACTAAACCTGGACCAAACCAGGACCAAACCAAGACCAAACCTAGACCAAACCAAGACCAAACCAGGACCAAACCTAGACCAAACCAAGACCAAACCAAGACCAAACCAGGACCAAACCTAGACCAAACCAAGACCAAACCAGGACCAAACCAAGACCAAACCAAGACCAAACCAGCACTAAACCTGGACTAAACCAGGACCAAACCAGGATTAAACCAGGACTAAACCTGGACTAAACCAGGACCAAACCAGGATTAAACCAGGACTAAACCTGGACTAAACCAGGACCAAACCAGGACCAAACCAAGACCAAACCAAGACCAAACCAGGACCAAACCAAGACCAAACCAGGACCAAACCAGGACCAAACCAGGACCAAACCAGGACTAAACCAGGACCAAACCAGGACCAAACCAGGATTAAACCAGGACTAAACCTAGACCAAACCAAGACCAAACCAGGACTAAACCTGGACCAAACCAGGACTAAACCTGGATTAAACCAGGACTAAACCTAGACCAAACCAAGACCAAACCAGGACTAAACCTGGACCAAACCAGGATTAAACCAGGACTAAACCTGGACCAAACCAGGACCAAACCAGGACCAAACCAAGACCAAACCAGGATTAAACCTGGACCAATCCAAGACTAAACCAGGACCAAACCAGGACTAAACCTGGACCAAACCAGGACCAAACCAGGAGTAAATCAGTACTAAATAAGGACTACAGCAGGATTTAGTCAGGACTAAACTAGTAAGTACTGTACTTCAGAACATTATTGATGTCATTTTGATTGAATCATGCCTCTGCATTTTTAGAATCATCTTTTAGCATCTTGTTTTTAAAGTTACATCATTATTTAAATCAGTGATTGGACTTGAATTTAAAGTACTGTAGTATTACAGTAGCTTCTATAGTACTACAGTATAGTACTAGTACTGTGCTATGTTTTACACTGTACTGTACCCTTTAAAACAGACTGTACACTTTAAAGCACCATTGTGGAACTTTCTGCAGGATTCCATGGAAAAATACAAACACTGTGGAATATTACAGCCAAAAGATCAGGCCAAAGAAGAGTCAGGTCTAAGGAGATGTAAGCCCATGAACACTTTTTTTTTCCCTTCCAAAATGAAGAAAGATGAAAAAAGATTTTATTTAAATCAATGTTTTGGACAAAAGTTACATAGTGGGGCTTTAAATCAGACACTGTAGATTTGATAGAAGTCATTTTCTTAGTAAAAAAAAAAAAAAAAAAACTAGTTGTGTAGCTGTTTTGTGCCATCACCTCCAATATGGATGAATCAGTCCATAAAAACCAGTATCATCTTTAACAGCACATCCAGAGACCACAGTGGCTCAGACTGCCCTAGAACTGAAAAGTTGAGGGTTCAAATCCTCTCAGTATGTCAGCCTCGTATTTGTGTTCGTATTCATCGTATTATTCCTGAGTTATTTCTATCGCTGCCTCACCAGCGTTAGCACAGCGTTAGCAAACACACTCGCTATATTTGGGACTAGCATGACCGCGCAGCGCTAACACATGCTACATGCTAACATGCTAACAGGGCTGCAGCTGCACTCGTCTGGAAAGGGACAAAGAAGAGACAGAAGAAGAGACAGAGGAGAGATGGAGAGTGAGAGAGATGAAGAGAAACATCAAGAGAGACACAGAGAGACACAGAGACACAGACAGAGACACAGACAGAGACACAGAGAGAGAAAGAAAGAGGTCCCATGCCACAGAGGAGACCTCAGACAGTGTTTCCCGGAACTGACAGCAGAAGCATCAGCGTCACGTACTGTCGGCAGAGCTGCACACACATGTACTTTTAAAAACTTCAATTTACACCAGAGACAACAAAGCTGCTCCTGTGACTCCAGCCTCTGTGTATTGTCATGTTTAAACTCTAAACTCTGTGTATTGTCACGTTTAAACTCTAAACTCTGTGTATTGTCACGTTTAAACTCTAAACTCTGTGTATTGTCACGTTTAAACTCTAGACTCTGTGTATTGTCACGTTTAAACTCTAAACTCTGTGTATTGTCATGTTTAAACTCTAAACTCTGTGTATTGTCATGTTTAAACTCTAAACTCTGTGTATTGTCATGTTTAAACTCTAGACTCTGTGTATTGTCACGTTTAAACTCTAAACTCTGTGTATTGTCACGTTTAAACTCTAAACTCTGTGTATTGTCACGTTTAAACTCTAAACTCTGTATATTGTCACATTTAAACTCTAGACTCTGTGTATTGTCACGTTTAAACTCTAGACTCTGTGTATTGTCACATTTAAACTCTAGACTCTGTGTATTGTCACGTTTAAACTCTAGACTCTGTGTATTGTCACATTTAAACTCTAGACTCGGTGTATTGTCACATTTAAATTATAAACTGTCTATTCTCACGTTTAAACTCAAAATTTGTACATAGTTTATGTTTTTCATTGTTGATTGGATAAATTCTGTTTTAAATCACCAGACAAAAGTGGTAGAGTGGATGTTTTGCAGTGATAAGGAGCCGTATCTGTGGTGCTGCATGAATAAAGCTCCTCTTCATCTGACTGTGGTCATGTAGTTTGAGCACTGCGTCGCGTCATGTCTGACACTGCTGCTGTAGACTGTTCGACCGGTTCCAATGGAAAGTTAAACCTGCTCATGTGCTGCTGCAGGTTCACACTTTTTGAACATGTGAGTGTGTGACTAGTAACACAAGAGACTTGTCTTTAGGCAGGCAAAACAGTTAATTATATCCCTGATGAATACCACTGTACTACACCTGTACTACAACTGTACTACAACTGTACTACACCTGTACTACACCTGTACTACAACTGTACTACACCTGTACTACACCTGTACTACACCTGTACTACAACTGTACTACAACTGTACTACAACTGTACTACACCTGTACTACAACTGTACTACACCTGTACTACACCTGTACTACACCTGTACTACAACTGTACTACACCTGTACTACAAGTGTACTACACCTGTACTACACCTGTACTACAACTGTACTACAAGTGTACTACACCTAATAATAATAATAATAATAATAACTCAAAGACACTTTACAGAGTATTATTCCTTCACTCCATACTTGGTGGTGGTCAGCTACTACTGTAGCCACAGCTGCCCTGGGGCAGACTGACAGAAGCGACTACACCTGTACTACAACTGTAATACACCTGTACTACAACTGTACTACACCTGTACTACAACTGTACTACAACTGTACTACACCTCTCCTGCTCAGCAGCGCAGAGGGAGTCTGGGTCAGTGAGCAGATTTATGGGACGGAAACCTCGTCAGTATCAGCTGTGAGCAGAGGAAGTGTGTGTAGAATGGCCCCTGTGTGGGCCCCTGTATCGGCCCCTGTGTCGGCCCCTGTGTGGGCCCTTACAGCAGGTGGCCCTTTTGATAGTGACTCAGGAAGGAGGCGGTCTCATTAGCATACAGATGCCCAGAGCGGAGGCAGCAGTGTGGCTCTTTCTGGCCCCCGGTCCCTGTCTCGGGCCCTCAGCAGGTGGAGGGAGCTCTTCTACATTCAAAGTCCGGCTCCTCAGTGGAGGAGGGGCCACTGTGGGCTCACTCGCAGAGGGTCCAGCTGTGACTGGCTGAGGCAGCGCTGACATCACAACTCTGTAGGTGCTACAACCACACAGCACAGGGAGAAGTCCTGTGTCCTCCACCAGGGGCCACAAGAGAGACGAGGTGCTCCAGGGGCCCATGACAGACAGGGGCCCAGAGCATGTTGCATTCAGAATTGTATGATATATGATATAATGCATTTGTCTGCCATGATATGATCATGAATCTATTAAAATAACTATAAAAATGTCGGATTTTGTGGCGATTTTTACCTGTTTTTAGATCATAAACTTTTTCTCAGCTCAAAATCCTTCAGTTGTCTTAACAAACGCTTTATAATTGTTAAACTGCTCTGCTCCGCTCTATCTCCTCTCGCTCTGATTGGTCAAAGAGATCATGTGATACACGAGCCCGCGCTCCGTGTGTGCGTTCGTGTGCATTCGCGTGTGCCCGCAGGAGAAAAGACACTACTGCACATGCTCGGTCGGCCCACAGCCACCGGAAGTACCTCGCTGGGCTAGGCTAATCTGGGATCATGCACCATTGAGCTCAGCCCATTGACTTGAATAGGCAGCCATTTTGGAACCTGGGGGCTTAGACATGATGCATTTGTGATGTGAAGTGAAAAGACAAAGTTGAATATACAGTTGAGTTTGTGGAGCCGACCCCAAACAGACAATGAAAAGGTTCAACATTTAAGGTTTGGACATTTCTTTAAACACAGTGAATAGGCCATAGATTGAAATGGGCCCCTGCGCTCCATCTGTGCCTCTCTGCTCACACACGCTGCTTCCTGTGGGGCAGTGCTGCTCTTAC